TCCTCGCTCTCCTCCATCCTTCCTGCTCCCTCTCCTCCACGTCGCGTCAGATGCTCACCCCTCCTCCGCTCTACCGCCTGAGTGTACGTCGGGGTAGCTTTGCGTCGATGTTTAAAAGCCCTCCTCCGCCCTCGCCTCCTCGTTCCTCTCCTCCACCACCTCCCTCCTCCACCCTCTTCTCCAGCCCATTCCCCTCCACCATATCCTCCCCCTCACCCCTGCCCTCGTCGCTGGCCCCCCTCGCTGGCCGTGGGATCTGGGGCCCTCTCTTCATGCCAGAGCCCAGGATGATGGGCCGCAGGGTGGAGGTGCTCGGCGACCTCCAGGGCCCGAAGTTCCGCGTCGCCGAGCTGGAGGACAGCTGCCGCCCGACCGTCCTCGCGAAGGGTTGAGCATCTGGGGTAAAGCTCTTCTCGAGAGGCTCAAAGTTTGGGCGGAATGGAGCCCACGACCAACAGCAGTTCCTGCCCATTCTGAACAGGGCCCGTGGATCAGGGGCCGCCGCGGACTGTTCCCACACGAGACGACGGTGCGCCTGCCCAGCAGCGGCCGCGGCCGGTTTTTGACGGCGCCTGCTGTCAAACCTCGTGCCAATTGTTTGGTCACACCCGTTTCGGGCGTGCCGTCTACGGACTTCGGATCTGGCGCCGCGCCTCGGAAGGTAGCGCCCGACGGTGACCCGGATCCCGCAGGGACGCGTGGCGCCCTCCCGTCCGCGTGGGCCCCCCCGAAAGGTGGCACCGCGCGTGCCGCGGCAGCCAACGAGGCAGCGCTCCTCCTGCAAGGGGGCGCCGCAGCGGCGCCCCCTTGCAGGCGAGGCTCGCGGGACGAGGGTCCCAGAGCTTCGACGTCTCGACTTGTTCAGCAGCGTGGATCCCTTCCCGTGGTTTTTGGCGGCCTGGCGGCTGTGGCCTCCAGGGTCCCGAGGCCGTGCGGCGGCGGACCGTGCGGTGCGGTCTCCGGGGGCCTCGAGGCCGTTTGGCCGCGGCGACGAGGACCTCCCTCGAAACCTGCGAGGGCGTGGCGGCGAAGACGAGGCCGAGCTGACAGCGACGAGGCGGCCAAGGGCGCCTCCGACGGCGCCGAGGCGGAAGCCGCGGCGGCTTGGCTGGCGGCGGCGAGCGGAGGGGGGCCGAGCCTCCCGCCCGAGAGAGCGGCGGCAGGGCGACCCGGTGCAGCTCGCCGAGGGGGACGTGCTCGAGTTCGGCATTTGCAGGACGGACTCCGACAACATCAGGCGCCAACCTTCGCTCCCCCTCCACCAGTGAGCGGTTGGAGGCTTTGAGGGCACGGGTGGCAAGGGCGCCCTCGAGGGCTCGAAGTGATTCGCGCTTCGCGCTTCGCGGTTCGGCTCCGATTCCTCATCCTCCTCTTCTCCCCTGGGAGGCGGCGCGAGAGAGCGCGAAGTTATTCGCACTGCGCGCTTCGCGCAGCGCGAAGCGCGAAGTTGGGAGCCCTGGTTGAGGGCACGGGTGGCCGCTCCCGAGAAGGCGAATGCCGAGAGTCGCACCGGGTGAGGTGCCCGAACGTCTGACTCAGAACGGCTGCCAGTTGGTAGTTTGCTGACTCGGAGCTCCGGCACAAGCAAGTGCGAAGGCCATGCGCCCCGAGGGACACGAGGGCGGGTCGGCAAGGGTATTCTCGGGGTTCCTGCCGTGCTCCGCTGTGATACATGAAACGCAACCCGCCAGCATTGGACGGTGGGCACTGGCCAGCGTGGGAGGAGGACAGGGACGGGGAGGAGGAGGAGGAGGAGGAGGAGGAGGAGGAGGAGGATACTGATGATGATGATGATGATGATGATGATGATGATGATGATGATGATGATGATGATGGTGATGGTGATGGTGATGGTGATGGTGATGGTGATGATGATGATGATGGTGATGATGATGATGGTGATGATGGTGATGCTGGTGATGATGATGATGATGATGATGATGATGATGGTGATGATGGTGATGCTGCTGCTGCTGCTGCTGATGATGATGATGATGATGATGCTGATGCTGATGATGATGATGATGAGGATGAGGAGGAGGAGGAGGAGGGATGCGGGGGGGATGAGGGGGGACTTCCCTCAGGTCTGCGCGCCAGGAAGAACGTGACGGCTGTCGTTTCCACGTCTTTCGGATTCGTGGGGGCCATCCCTAGGCCCAGAGGACCTCCAAGACTGTCCTGACGCACCCAAAGAGGACCCCACGGCGGCCCAGAGAGGCCACGAAGACGGCGTCCGAAGGTCAAGAGGCCTTTCAGAAGCCCTCGAGGGGCACCCCAAGAGGCTCCTAAGAGGCTGCTGCAAACTTGTAAGACGAATGTGCGCGGTGCTGGGGCGAGGGCCACATTTTGAGAATTGCCCCTCTCCGTCCCCGCAGGTGTTGCAGACTTTCGATAAGACGAATGCGCACGACGCTAAAGCGAGAGCTCCATTTTGGAAACGACCCGCCTTTCTATCCGTGAGACGGTTGCAACCCTTTCAAACGAATGTGCGTGGTGTTTAGGCGAGAACCCCACTTTGAGAAGGAGCCAACGTTCATCCGTGAGGCTGCTGCAAGCTTTTCCAGACGAAACTGCTCGGCGCTAAGGCAAACATCGATTTTGAAAACCACCTGCCCTCCATCCGTGAAACGGTTGCAAGCTTTTGATATGAATGTACGCGTCGCTTATGCGAGCGCTCATTTTTGAAAACCACCGCCCTCCATCGGTGACACTGTTGCAAGCTTTGAAATCGAATGCGCGCGGCGCTAAGGCGAGAGCTCCATTTTGGAAAGGACGCCCTCCATGTTGGTAACTGTTGCGAATTTCAAGCTCAGGATCATCAATGGTGAAGAAGCTTGACTCCCAGATCGCCTTACCGACACGTCAGGGGTTGCGGCAGGGAGGAGTTGACTACAAGGAAACAGGATACGGAGGAGAAGGAGGGTAAGGAGGAAGAGGAGGAGAAAGAGGAGGAATAATAGTAGGATAAGGGTAACGATAAGGCCGTTGGGGGTCTGAAAAGAGGAGGAGCAAGAAGACTAGTAGAAGCAGGAGGAGGATGGATGGACGAGGGCGGATGGTAGACGAGCAGGAGGAGAAGGAGGAGGAGGAGGAGGTGGAGGAGGAGGAGGAGGAGGAGTATGAAATGGACGATCAGGATGATCGAGGGTGGAGGACCAGCACGACAGGCCCGGGCGCATCACCCTGAAGCCCACCGTGGAGCAGAAGGCGCTGGTGCGTGCCTGCGCGCCCGGCATCGACCTGCTCATCGAGGACGGCCTGATGAAGGCCTGCCCGCCTCTCAGGAGGGAACAAAAAGCACAGACACAATTGATCGTCGATTCCACTAGAAAAGTATGGGAAGTGGGGGGGGGGAAGACAAAAACCCAGAAGATATGGGAAAACATAGGGAATCATGCTACTTGCGTCTATTTCTTTGTGTGTCCCAGGGCCCCTTCATCCTCGGCCCCCTCCCCGCCCCCGCCCTCGCCGTCTTGGCCGACATCGGCGGGCACACCCCGCGCGAGAGCCGCTCTTTGCAGCTCTGGCCTGAGCGCTCCCTTTCTCTTTGTGCCAGCTGTGGCGGGACTCCGAGCGTGAATGACCTACCCCGCTTTCGCTTCCAGGCAAAACCAAGTCATACCACGCGCCTCCTCGTCAGGCGGCCTGACCAGTACAGGCCGTAGTTTTGGCATCGTTTGGTATCTCTTGGAAGCGAGGGTGGTCAAAAGCGAGGTAGGTTTGTTTTCCCCCCTAGAGACAGCGAGTGTCGATCCCCGTCACCTATGCTCGGTGAGGAATGGGCTGGAGAATCTGCAGCGGATCGCCAAGGACCTCTCCCCTGGTCGCAGATCGATGGCCTCTGTGCTGGGCCGCCAGCAGCGCCGCTCTCGGCGCGAGCATGCTCGTCGCGCCATGGTGCCAGGGGCGCGCTAACTCTCCCAGGCCCTGGACTGCGCCTTGGCAAAAGCGCTCAAAAGGCTTCTTGGTCCTCCGTCGTCTTCCCTGTCTAAGAGTGACCCTTGGCGTGAGTAACCTTTGGTGTCTTCCCGGTCTATGCATGCGATGCGATACCAGCGTCTTGCGCGCTTGGGTTTGACCTCCCGGGCCATCCAAAAGTGCGCAGCCAAAGTCAGTCTTGCGGAGCGCGCCATGGGAGGCACCCTGGGCGCCGCCACGAGTGTCCAGCGCTGGTCCACGAACTCCGCGCGGAGCGCCACAAGTTTCTGTTTATGCAGCTGTCTATTCCTCTACAGTCAACCCGCATAGTAAGGATGGGCAACCTTCTCAAGGGTTCCTTTGCATCCTTGCCTCCGCGGTCCATCCTTCGCCGCTTTCGCTGGCCGCGCCCCGCTCGGAAAGCTTCGAAATGAGCGTCCAGGGCCCTTGCATCCTTATCGCGCATCCTTACTATACTGGTGGAGTGCATTCCCTCCTCCCCCTCCCGCCCCGCGCCCTCCAGCTCCTCGCGGCTCCCCTCCGCATCGTCCCCTCCACCCCGCCGTGCGCTCTGGTCTCGGGCGGGCAGCCGCGGGGGGCGCGCGGCCAGCCTCCACCGGCGAATCGACGTCCGACCTCGCCGGCGTCGCATCGGCACGATGAAGTCGGGCCTGTCCCTCCACAGGAGCAATAGTCAAGAATAGTCAAACAATAGCCCGGGGGCGATTTTTGGAACATGCTTTTGCCATTTTGGAGCATTGTTCTATCGTTTTTTTTTTTCGTCCCAAATCCCCCCGCAGGAGGACAGGCCCGACTTTAACAGTACGATCGAAATGTCCACGGAAAGGCTGGGCGCGAGTGCCACCAGCGGTTCTTTTGCGTGTTGAACAGGACTCGCTGTCTGCGTCGCCGCGGACGTCGTCCACTCGAGACGGGAGGCCGCCTGCCCAACAGCGGTGGCCGCCGCTTCTGGACAAGATCTGCATGCTGGACAACTGACCGACACTAGCACGCTACGGAAATGGGCTCTGGGCATTGTGCCCAGTTCTCCGCACCCATTTCGGTCGTCCACGTCAGGCCTGGACCTAAACGAGGGAACGCGAGAGCAAAATGGAAACGAACAACACCGTTGAGGTTCGGCCCCAGCCCGCGTCGTCGTCGCCGTCGCCGCCGCGCCGTCGTCCCCCGCGAAGTGGCGCCTCGCCCGCGGCCTCCCGCCGCCCGAGCCGCCGAGGGCCACGGGGCCCTCCCGCCCCCCCCCCGCCCGCGGGGCGCCCGCGCGGCGGCCGCCGCCCGCGCAACCGAGGCGGGGGCCGCCTCGGCGTGCTCGGTCGGGGGCTCCTCGCCGCGGCCTCTTTGTTGTTCGCGTCGGCGGGTCACGAGGCAGGAGCCCTCAACGGCACCGTAACGGGTACTTACTAACGGGTACTTTGAATGTTTGCCAAAAGTTGCCACTTTAGGGTTTTTTTTTGCATTGCAGTTTTGCCCACATCGGGAAGGGTTGGGTTCACTGGGTCACTGGCCAAAGTACCCGTTAGTGGAGTCCCCGTTTGAGGGGCGCTGAAGCCCTCTCGGCAGGACCCGGGGGGCTTCCGAGAGGGAGGGCTCCGCAGAAGCCGGGAGGGCTTCTGAGAAGCCCCCCCGCCTTCTGAGGAGGCCCCCCCCGCCATCTGAGAGGGCCGCCCCCTGTCGCGCTCCTCTCTTCGTGCACCCCGCCTCAAAGAGAACATGTCGGGACCGAGCCTTCTGAGAAGGCCCGCCCCTTCTCACTTCCCGCCCAGGCTCGCCGCCGCAGGGCTCGACCCAAACGGTGTTCGAGCGATCTCGTGGACCGGTTTCGTCTCGATTCCGTTTTCAGCGAAGGCGGAGCGGAGACGGAGAGAGGGGACACGAACACCCGACGAGAGCGGAGAGCCTTGTTTAGGCCGAGCTCTGCCCAGGACACCTCTGGCCGCTGGTAGCGCCCGAGCTCTGCACGGGACTGGCCGTCGGTGCCGCCGCGGCCGTCGCCGATGTGGGACAGACGTCGCTGGCCCAACGGCGGCCGCTGCCGGTTATGGCCACCGCCTGATGTTTGTCAGGAGGGGGGACTGGGCGCGGGCACAAGTAGTTGGACGTAGACTTCTGAGAGAACCAAGAGAGCATGGGGAGCTCTGGGAAGTGGAGGGAAAGACGAGCGTCCAGAACGCGTGGAAGCATACGGGGAGCCCTGGGACTCGTGTCCACCTAAATCAGTGTCTCCCTGGCCCCTTGGTTGGGCATCGCTCCCATCCTTTCCGTGCCCATGCTTGGGCGTGTGCCAGCCGGCTCGCCACGGCGACCAGCCGCTTGGCCCCCGGGCCCGGCCCCCCCCCCGCCCCCGTGGCTGCCCTTGGCCGGGGGCGCGTTGCGGCCGCATGGCGCTGTCTTCTGCTGCTCCTCGTCCTCCTCCCCCCTCCTCCGCCTCCCTCCATCCTCGACCTTCTCCGTCGCCTCCTCCTCGACTTCTTTTTCTTCTTCTTCTTCTTCTTCTTCTTCTTCTTCTTCTTCTTCTTCTTCTTCGTGCGCGAGCGCGCGCCACCGCGCGCGTGGGCACGCGTGCAGGGAGACCTCTCTTCCCTGCCCTCAGGTCTGGGCGTCGTCAAGCGAATCGTGCGCCCGTGCTTCTCTTTTGTCTTCGGGACCTCTGCAGGCATGTGGGGAGGTTGGTTTGCGGCGCGCAACAGTTTCGGCAGCAAGAAAGTTCAGACAGACCAATGTGGAAGGAGTTTCCCAGCTTTGGTCAGGACCGCCCCCTCTCCCTGGTCTGCTTTGGGTTCCGTTGCCCCTTGAAAAAGAGGCTGGACGACTATGGTGGCCTTCTCAGAACAGCGGGCCCCTTTGAAGGAGGGACCGGGGGCTCGTGGGACGGCTGCGTGCACTGCGGGAGGCTTCCATGATCAGCCACACGCAATCTTGACCCTTCGTCGGAGCGGTGATTCATACGGACCCACAGGGGGCCATCCCCTTGCACCAGCGTGCGCGCTCGGATTCGGTCCTCCGCGGCCCCCAGAAACCGCGCGCCAGAGTTCGCTCTTGCGCAGGATCCCTCGCTTTGTGTGTAGCCGATACGAGGCCCACTCCCTTGTCAGAAAGCCACTCCCTTCGCTCCATTCCCGCCAGCTTTCCAGACCTCCGACGGCTCGATACTGGGACGGCCATGACGGCGGCGGGTCGACGGCGACGACCCCGAAGGGGGATGACGACCATGGCGGCGGCGTCGGCGACGACCACGTTGACGTGGGACAGAGACCTCAAGGATGCTTCGCGGGGCCTCCTCGGAGCGCGCTCGCAGGCCTCTTGGGGGGCAGTTGTGGGGGCCTCCTGGGGGCATCTTGGGCCTCTTGGGGGCCTCTTGGGAGTCCCTTCGGGCTTCCTGGGGGCCTCCTGCGGGCCTCCTGGGGGCCTCCTGGGGGCCTCTTGGGGCCTCGTTGGGGCCTCTTGCCTCTTCGCGCCTCCCGGGAGCTGTTCGGGGTCGAGGGCTCGAACTGTTCGTTCGGGTTTCCGTGTGGGCACCCTCTTGCAGCCGTTTCGGGGGCCTCTGGTCCCTGGGAGGCCTCGAGGGCCGTCTTGGGGCCCTCTTGGGTCGTTTTGGGGCCGTACTGGAGACTTCTTGGGGGCCTCTTGTCCCGATCTTGGTGGCATCTTGGGCCGTCTTGGGGCCTCTGGAAACCGAAAAGGCGAGAACGCTTGAATTGTCCCAAATCCAGAGAATCATTGACTTTTGCCAGTTGGGGATCTCTTGATATTGTAGTGGCCTTCGGCCAGTGCCGCCGATCCGGGGCGCTCCTGATGATGATGATGATGATGATGATGCTGATGATGCTGATGCTGCTGCTGCTGCTGCTGATGATGATGATGATGATGATGATGATGATGATGATGATGATGATGATGATGATGATGATGGTGATGTGACGATGGTGATGGTGATAGTGATGGTGATGGTGATAGAGATGGTGATGGTCTGGCCCCCCCCTTCTCTCTCCTGTCCCCCCCCTCTCTCCTGTCCCCCCCCTCTCTCCTGTCCCCCCCCCTCTCTCCTGTCTCCCCCCCCTTCTCTCTCCTGTCCAATCCCCCCCCCTCTGCCCCCCCTCTCTCCTGTCCCCCCCCCCTCTCTCCTGTTCCCCCCCCCCCTCCCCTTGCAGAGCGCCCATCTGCAAAGCGGACCCTCCCGCTTTTCCCTGCAGCTCCCGCTCCCGCCTGAGAGGGCCCCCCCATTTGCAGCCCCCCCCCTTGCAGAGCGCTCCCCCCCCCCATCTCCTGCCCTCACCCTTGCAGAGCAAAACTCTGGGGGGGGGGGGGGGGGCGAACTCGAGGGGGGGGGGGCTGGCAAGGGGGGGAGGTGCCGAGCACTGAATTCGACAGTTGATGAGGTCCCCCCCCCTCCCCCCCTCCCAAGCAGAGCTAAAGCTCATGCTGAAGCAGAGCTTCAGCTTAGACTTCTTAAACTCACACGCTGGATCGGCGGATCTTCTAGTCTCGGGGGGCTGCAGACCCCTCGACCGCTTCTCTTGACGAGCTTCTCATCTGGAGTACTTTTTGACGTCCCAGGGGTCCGAAGGCGGCCCCCAGAGGGAGATAACGCAGAACAGCCTCGGAGACGGATGCAACATGTGGCAGCACTTGCTCTCGGTGCGCGTGCGGCAGTGGGACCTGGAAACGAGGCAGCGCATTCGAGTGCGATAAGGCGTCGTCAAGCGCAGTGGCATCTGCAGCAGACGCAGACGACCGAGGAGGCGGGCGTCGGAGTGGGCGGAGCGCGGGCTGGCCGCGCCCCCCAGCTGCCCGAGTCGGGCAGGGTACGCTGAGACCCCCGCGCCTGCCAGCCACGAGCCACGAGCCGACGACCTCGTGCGGACCCAGAGATCCGACGCTCCAGAAAATCGGAGCGGGCGCTTTTTGCCTGATTTCGGCCTCCGGGGGGGCCTCGTCGGTCCTCTATAGCGGCAGAACGATTCGAGGCGAAATGCCGGCCCTGGTCAAGTGGGCCAGGGGCCCGCGCATCGCAAAAATTTGAGCAGCCGGATGTCCTGGGAGGTTGTCCCCCCTTCCGCTGGTCCTTCAGGCTGCCTCAAGTGGAGGAGGAGGAGGAGGAGGAGGAGGAGGAGGAGGAGGAGGAGTCAGGAGTCAGGAGTCAGGAGGGAGGAGGAGGAGGAGGAGTCAGGAGGGAGGAGGAGGAGGTGAGGAGGAGGAGGAGGAGGAGGAGGAGGAGGAGGAGGAGGAGGAGGAGGAGGAGGAGGAGGAGGAGGAGTCGGAAGGGAGGAGGAGGAGGAGTCCGGAGGGAGGAGGGAGGAGAGAGGAGGGAGGAGCGAGGATGATCAGATCTGGGCGTCGCAGCAGTCCCACTCTGGCGGCTGGTCGGCGTTTTCGGCCTCCAGAGGCCGCGGGCCGGCCCAGGGGGGCCGTCGATGAATCGGAGGAGGGCGAGGCGGAGGCTGCCCCCCCCCACCCGCCGCGGCGCTAGCTGGGCCGTGGCGATCCCTGCCGGTCTGCCGCCTGCCTCTCTCCCTGCGGCTGCCGCACCGTGCGTGGGGCGACGGGGCCCGCCTCGCGGTCCGTGCGCGCGCGTCCCTATTGCAGTCAACCCGTATGGGAAGGGTGCGCGAGAAGGATGCGAGGGCCTTGGACGCCCATCTCGAAGCTGTTCGAGCGGGCCGCGGCCAACGAAAGCGGCCAAGGATGGGCCGAGAAGGCAAGGATGCAAGGGTACCCTTGGGAGGGTTGCCCGTCCTTACTGTGCGGGTTGGCTGTATGGAAAGGGCACGCTCAGGCCACATGCCTCTGCCTCCCTGGCCCCCCGCCACCGTCGGCCCCGCTCGGGGGCTTCGGCCGGTCATCAGGTGACCTGCGTGGAGAAGCTGTCCGACACGGAGCTCAAGGTGAAGGTGGTCCGCGGGGGCAAGCTCAAGGCCCGCAAGGGCGTGAATGTGCCCGACGTGGAGATCGACTGCGCCGCCCTCACCGAGAAGGACCGGCGATCTCCCGACTCGGCGGAGGCAGCAGGGAATACTGAGAGAGGGGTGAGAGTCGAGGGACCTGTTCAGGGGCAACGATAGGGGGGCTAGGCTTAGGGGGGATTCATGGATAGGGGTCTGATAGCCTCACCTCGCCCATGAGCATGCGGATGTGCTATCGCGACCCTGTCGCCAATCTGTCGGCGATGTATCGCCGGTTCCGGGTCGATGTGTCCCCCCCTGTGCCAGTCTCCCCTTATCGTTACCCCTCAGCTGTGGGGGTGCGGGAGCCGTCGACTATGCAATCCGAGCGATCTGGGCGAGGCCAATCCTGAGCCCAGGATCGCTCAGGATGAAGATCATGCCCCAGGGGCAGGGTTGAGACTCCCAGACGCCCGACTACTTGGTGTTCTCAGCGCCCGCGCGCGTGCCCAGGCGGATTGTTTTTGGACCACAATTTGGCTCTCTGGTGGCCGTTCGGAAAGATCCAGGCACCCCCGGAACGCTCGGCGAGGCGCAGCCGCTGGAACGCACCCCGAAGCTGGAAAACCCGCCGAGAATCGACGAAAAGGCCGGAAAACATCCAACCTCGAACCTCGAACTCCCCCAAACATCTCCTCTCCCCGGGGATAGTGTTTCGTCCCTGCTGTAGGGACCCGAATGCAAGAAACCTTCCACATGAATCCCAACCCTGAGACGCCAGGGCGTCCATCGATTTTTAGTGTGGGAACGTCACGCTTTCCATAGTAGAGCCATCGAAACCCAAGAAGCCCAGGACATCCTGGATGCGAGCAGGGTGTTTTTTGGCATGGGTCTCCACTGAATGGCTGATGGTCCCGGGAGGCCGACGTCGAGGCGAAAGCGGCAGAATGGAACAACGCCAGATCGTCGCGGCTCTGGGCTTCTCGGGCCCCCTGTATCGATTGAGTCAAGGCACCGGTCCTGGGCTGCCTCCTCGGTCATTGTCCCTCCGCCGTGGTATTTTCAATGGGCCTGTTTTCCACCACCACCACCGTAAGTTGGAGGGGGTAAGAAGAGGATGATGAGGAGGAGGATGAGGGGGAGGAGGAGGAGGAGGAGCAGGAGGAGGACCCCTCCCCCTCCTACTTATGGTGGTGGTGGAAAACAAGCCCACCACCCCTGGCCCCTCGCCTCGCTCGGGTCTTCGGGCCCTCGTTCGGTCCCCGCTCGTCGTGCTGTGCGGTTGCAGTGTAGGGAGCTGGAGCTCGTCGCCAGCCCACGTCCAAGGAAACAGGAGCATCGGAACTCCGGCCTGGTGTCCGTGTTTTCTTCGTTGCTTCGCCGATCCGCGCGGGCTCCCGCCCCCCTCCCCCCCCATAGACCAGATCTTGGTTGCTTCTGGCGGCTGCTTTTGGCGACTGGTCTCAGGACCCCGCCCCCAATTTGCTGGCGCGAGTGGTAGAAGCAGATTGGCTAGGAGCCCGCCCAGACCCAGCCCACCCTCCCCAACCCTTCGGCCAAATGTCGAAACCCAGAATACAACAACAACGCTTGCAGTCAATCCGCATTGTAAGGATGTGCAATCGTCCCAAGGCTACCCTTGCATCTTTGCCTCCTCGGTCCATCCTTGGCCGCTTTCGCAGGCCGCGCCCCGCTCGCAAAGTGTCGAAGCGTTCTTCCAAGGCCCCTGCATCCTTATCGTGCATCCTCATGATACGGGTCGACTGTACTTGCGGCTCGCGCCGATCCCGGGTCGGCCCAGGGGCGCGTTGTTGCCCATGATGCCTTGCCGTTCTGCCAGCCGCGTGGGCTGAATACGGCCGTTTGCTTGCTCCTTCCCTCGGTGGTGATGATGATGCTGCTGATGATGATGCTGATGCTGATGATGATGCTGATGATGATGCTGATGATGCTGCTGATGATGATATTGATGGTGACAGTGATGGCGATGCTGATGCTGATGTTGATGATGACGATGATGATGATGATGATGATGATGATGATGATGATGATGATGATGATGATGGTGATGGTGATGGTGATGGTGATGGTGATGGTGAGGGTCATGTTGATGGTGATTGTGATGTTGATGGTGATGCTGATGAATGTTGTGATGGTGATGATGATGATGATGATGATGATGATGATGATGATGATGATGATGATGATGATGATACAGATGGAGATGAATATGATGATGTTGATGCTGCTGATGATGCTGATACTGATGATGATACTGATCACGATGATGCTGATTAGGATGATGATACTGATGATGCTGCTGATGATGATGATGATGATGACGATAATGCTGATGCTTCTGCTTCTGATAATGATGATCGTGATTGTCGTGGTGATGATGATGGTGATGGTGTTTGATGGTGATGGTAATCGTGATTGTGATACTGGTGGTGATGATGATGTTGATTTAGATGATGCTAATGATGCTGATGATGATGATGGTGGTGCTGATGATGATGATGACGATGGCGATGACGATTACGATGACGATGGTATGATGATGATGCTGATGCTGATGCTGCTGCTGATGATGATGATGCTGATGCTGATGCTGATGACGATGGTGATGGTGATGGTTCATGATGATGCTGGTGCTGCTGATGATGATGATGTTGATGTTGATGATAATGATGATGATGATGATGATGATGATGATGATGATGATGATGATGATGATGATGATGATGATGGTGACGATGACGATGATGATGATGATGATGATGATGATGATGATGATGATGATGATGATGATGATGATGATGGTGATTGTGATGGTGATGGTGATGGTGATGGTGATGGTGATGGTGATGGTGATGGTGGTGGTGGTGGTGGTGGTGGTGATGGTGCTGATGGTGGCGGTTGTGGGGCTGTGATGGCAATGACGGTGATGGTGACGGTGACAGTGATGGTGGTGGTGCTGGTGGGTGAAGGTGCGGAGGATGCGGGTGATGCGGCGGCCACGCGGCGGCCAGGACAGGCGCTGCCGGCAGTCTTCGTACCCATCCTGCCCGCACCCGTTCCCATTGTACCGAGTCCAGCGCCGCCCAGCGCCGCCCAGGATGTCGAGGACGCCGAGTACCTCCTGGGCCTGGACCCGCCCGTGGAGTACATCTGCGTCTCCTTCGCGCAGAAGGCCGGGGCCCCATGGGGGGCGGCCTCCCTGGCCCCCCCCTGCGGGCGGCCTGATGAGCCTGGCCTCCCCCTACGGGCAGCCTGGGGGCGCGAGGAGCAGGCCGGAGGGAGGAGGAGGAGGAGGGCGGAGGCGCAGAAGGGAGGCAGGAGGAGGAGGAGGAGGAGGAGGAGGAGGAGGAGGAGGAGGAGGAGGAGGAAGAGGAGGAGAGGAGGAGGGGGAGGAGGAGGAGGAGGAGGGAGGAGGAGGAGGAGGAGGAGGAGGAGTAGGAGGAGGAGGAGGAGCAGGAGGAGGTGGGGGTCTACCAACGTCGCTCCGTCCAGCCATCAGGAATGAGGAAGCAGGAGTAGGATGTCCCCCCTGACGTCGCCCTGTGGTTTTCGGGTCATGACTCGGCTCTCCGGCGGCAGTTCGGGGCGATTTGGGCACCCCAGCAATTTCTCGGCGAGGCGCAGCCGGTGGAACGCACCCCGAGGGCGGAAGACCGCGGAGAACCGACGAAAATCCCCGAACCCCTCAAACTCCCCTCCCTCCTCTCGAAGAACAACAGGCTGCACAGACACGAAAGAGCGCGCCCGCAGCGCCAGGAATACGGAAAGGGGGGCCCCAGCTTCAAGCTACCCCCCCCTCCCTTCCAAAAGGGAGGGGGGGACTTCTGAAGCTACCCCCCCTCCCTTCTGTAAGGGTTTCTAAGCTAGGGGGGCCTCCTCCTCCTCCTCCTGCTCCTCCTCCTCCTGCTCCTCCTCCTCCTCCTCCTCGTCCTCCTCCCCTTCCTCCTCCCCCTCCTCCTCCTCCTCCTCCCCTTCCTCCTCCCCCTCCTCCTCCTCCTCCTCCTCCTCCACCTCCTCCTCCCCCTCCTCCTCCCCCCTCAAGCAACCTGGGCTCGAGCATTTTGCCGTCCCCCAGGTCCTCTGCACCTCCACGTGGTGCTTGAGGGACTTGGCCCGGGTGTCAGCCACACCACTGGGGCCACGACCAAGACAGAGGTTTTGTACGGACCAGCACACTTGTTAGCGGCATGTCGACGTCGACGCCTCCGTGGACGAGGTGCGACAAATGCAAGCGCTGCGAGTGGAACTCGATTCTCAGCATGAACCAGCGGAAGTGCCCAGGCTGCCAGACCGTTCTCACGCTATACAAGAAGCCAGTCAGAGGCACGGTCAGGTTCGACCTAGACACGGAGGCCGATGACATTGAGGACTTCCATGCGTGCGAGGAGGAGCCCAGCAGCGACACGGGAGGCGGCGGCGGCAGCAGGTCGGCTCGACGCAGTCGCAGCCCCTCCCCGTCGGGCGTCAAACGCAGCGGCAAGGGCGGCGGCACTGAGGTCTCGCAGCACCTGCGCAAGGCCTTGGCAGCGACCAACGATAAGGAGCTGCAGAACGCCCTCAAGGCGCAGATCACACGGATCCAGAGCGACCCGCCGCCGTCTGCAGCCAACCCCGTCGATGCCATGAAGAGAGCGGACGGGGCCTTCAAAAACGCGGACCACTTGCATGAGCAAGCCGTGGCCTCCGTCCTCCGCCTTCGCGCCAGCTTGAAGGCAGCGGAGGCCAAGGAGGAGGCGGCCGCCTTGCGCCTGGCTGAGGCCAAGGAGGCCAAGACGGCAGCGGCTCGGGCGGTGGCCATGGCAGAGGGCGTCCACGACGTCAACACGAACACGCAGAGCCAGAGCCAGCAGAAGGGACCTATGTTCAAGCTTGAGTGGGACGAGACCTTCTTCGCGGGCCTGGACAAGATGGATTGCACGGAGCCTGAGCGAGCTGCACTGCAGACACTCCAGCAGGACCTTCTCAACACGCGTGGCCTGTTGGAAGGTAAAGAGAAGGAGATCACACAGTGGCTCGAGCAGGCCAAGAAGTACCAGCAGGACATCACGGACAGGATGTCCAAGAAGCGCAAGGGCAAGGCAGGCGAAGCGGCCCCTCCACCAGAGGCTCAACCTGCAGAGGCGCCAGCGGCGGAGGGCTCGAAGGACTTACCGAAGCCCCAGGCCGACGGCGAGGACGCCAAGCGTTCCGAGATGCTCAAAGAGGAAGCGAAGAAGCTGTCCGACGCGCGCTACCAGGCGATGATCGAGACGGCCAAGGCGAAGGGCAAGGGCTCCGACAGCACGGCCGCCCCCAGGCATGGCGACCCAGCGGTCGCCGCCACTGGTGAGAGCGCAACGCCTTGCCAGGAGGCTGGGGCGGCTGCTGCCGCGGACACGGCTTGACAAATACAGGAGGGTTCACCTCGGACCCTTGACGCAACCGAGGGTCAGGAGTTCACGCACATGTTTGTGGCGAACGTGACGGAGCTCTCTGACAAAGTTTGGAAGTACCCGGTCAAGAATTCGGCTACATACCACTTCTTCGGCTTCCTGGAGACACATGTTCACTCCTCGGCCGAACTGCATGAATGGGATAAAAAGGCTCGACTGCAGAAGCTTAGATTGCACCGCAATCCAGCACGCGAGTCAGGCAAGACAGTTTCAGCTGACAAGCAAGACAGATCGAATGAAGGTGGAGAAATGTTCCTTGCACGGAAGCATCTTCAAGCACACCTTCTCCCTGAGGCTCGGGCAGCAGCTGCTCAGTTATCCGATGTTGGGACGTCGGCGCTGGGCGGCTTCCTGCCGATGGTGATCCACCAGACGGGCTACAGCCTCTTGGTCGTCCTGCTCTACGGCTACTCCTCGATTCAGATGGCGGGCCACAACAAGCGTCGGCATGGACGACTGGGAGGATTGCTCAAGTCGGTGCGCATCCCGTGGCTCGTCATCGGTGATTTCAACATGGACCCCACCGTGCTGCAGGCCTCCAGCTTCATTCAGCAGGTAGACGGGACCATCCGTGTGGCGCAAGGAGGTGTGGGCACGTGCGCGAGGAAAAATGCTCCAGACTCGCTCTTGGATTATATGGTCTGCTCGCAATCTGCCCTTCCCTTCGTCAAGGATCTGACCGTCGTCCGCGATGTGAGCTGGAAACCGCATGTAGGTCTGCACCTCACTTTTAGGAGCTCGGGCCTCCAGTTGGTCACCAGGGTCCTCGAGATGCCCCTTAGGCTGCCCCAGGTGGCTAGGCCCCAGACGGCTCCCACTCTTGGTTCCAAGAGCACCCGTGCGAAGTCTCTGAGGCAGTCGGCCCAAGTTGAGGCTGCTGCCAAGCGTGTTGGGATTATAAATTCTCTTTTTGGGGACTGTGTTCAGTCTGAGTCTCACGACGACGTAGGGAGAGTTGAGGGTCCTACAGGGATGGATCCTGCGACTCAAGATTTTGAACCAGAGCTCGATCTCGACGTCTGGCCTGATGAGCCCGACCCATGGGAAAACGAGCTTAATTTCTGTCCTGACGTGACGATCAGCCAACATATTGTCACGCCAGCCCTTGCCGCCCCTCCCTCGGCCCCTCTCCCCGCGCCCAGGACTCCGAATCAGCCAGCACGTGACAGTCATCGGGAGACTGGTGCCACTGCTGGCATCGATGCGTCTATGCGCGGTCTCAGCCCCCCCCCAATTCGAGCCAGCCCCCCCCCCTGACGGTTTAAACGGCCATGCCATGGAAGACACCCGAGGAGCCGAGCCCGAGCAGACTGGCCCTGCCGCGACCACCCCCGAACCGTCGTTCAAGATACCACAGGATTTGTGGTGTCAGATTCGGGAAGATGTTGGGTTTGCGTCAGGAGCCACTTGTTTAGAATATGTCTCTCCTCCTTTGCTGCACTCCGTAGCGTTTCGGCTCGAACCAAAACACTCCGCCACAATATCAGGTTTATATGCCGCGTGGGCGACCACGGCAGAGCGCGCCATCCTCGCGCGCCACGATCAAGCCATGGCTGGCACGCCGCATGCGAACGGTCCACAGTTTCGTGTGCGCTCGGCCCACGAGGCTTCGCACCGTCGGCAGCTCCATCTACGAGATGGTCGTGCTCAATGGTGGACGAGAGTGTGCACAGTTGTGGCTGGAGTCTTGCGGCACACGTTGCGTGACAACGGACATGTACAGCTGGATGGATACCGCACCGCTTGCCATGAGCTCCTTGGCGATGTTCCTGCCGACGCCCATGGTTTGCTAAGGCTCGACAAGGACCCGCCGTGGGAGAAGTGGACCGAGTTTCTGCGCTGCGGAGGCCAGGTTGCCCTACCAGTACTGGAATCATGGGAACGATGTGCCAAACGTGTGGCAGCTCGAGCCCAGCGGGTAGCAGTCCAGTCATCGCTGCACGACTTCCGTCAGTGGGTGACGGAGCCGAAGGCGTGCGGGATCCTCCACAAGTCCTTGAAGCCCAAGGTCTTACCAGCGGTCGAGCTGGCCATGGACGGACGCACCATCTACCACCCCAAAGATATCATGGACGAGAAGATGAAGCATTACAAGAAGCTATGGGCTCCCACTACCGTCAGCCTCAGCGACACCAGGGAGCTGTTCAGGCAGATCCGAGCTGAGGCGGTCGACGCCCCGCTCGAGCCCATCGGCCCCACCAGCATCGTCAAGGCATGCCGAAGGATGAAGGCGAACGCAGGCACCGGCGTGGACGGCTTCACGCCCGTCGACTACGAGCGCCTCCCAGCAGCAGGCTTGGCCGAGATGGCCCTGCTGCTGGAGGCGGTGGAGGCCACCCTCACGTGGCCAGTGCAGGTGCTTCTGATCCTCGCACGGCTCACTCCCAAGAAGAGTTCGGGAGATCGAGCGATAGGCTTGGTCTCTATGCTGGGTCGAGTATGGTCAATGATTCGTGAAGAAGAAATTCAGGTATGGAGTAAAGAACAATCGGCACACTGGGACGCTGCTATACGTGGCAATTCATGCCTCCAAGAGGCTTTCTTACGTTCGATAAGTGAAGAGGTCGCTCATAATTTCAAAATGCAGCATGGGCACGCTATGCTTGACATAGAAGCCTTCTACGACTCAATACCATGGCAGCCTCTAGTAGCAGCAGCGCTTCGACTCAAATTTCCTCCTGTTGTGCTTTACCTCGAGCTGGTGCAATGTGTAGCACCCAGGGCACTAGAACAAATGGGCGCGGCGACTGACCCGTTCGAACCCAGCCAGAGTGTAGTCCAAGGACTACGCTCTGGCACGCGCTTTGCCAAGGCGCTCACTCACTTCGTGATGGAAGCAGTTACGACCGTGCACCCACAGTTCGATCACAGATTGTGGATCGACGACTTATCTCAACGCATGGCAGGTTCGAGGAAGGCACTCAGACGACAGATGGTGGAATGCATAGTGTTCACGTGCGAGCAGCTGAAGCTCAGGAAGCTGAAAGTTGCCGCGAAGTCCATCATCATGTGCACCAACATGCATGACACGAGGGCTATTGTCAAGGATGTTCGCAGCAGAAGTTATGAAATCAGGGGTGTCTCACAGGCCACGTACCTAGGCGTCGATTTCGGCTGCGGCAGGATGGCCAGGTCGACCAGGCGTGCACGGGAGACGAAGCACAAGCAGATATCAACCAAGATCCGCAAGTTCACTAAGGCCTCCAGGCAGTACCACGTTACGGCGAAACTACAGAAGCAGGGAGGCCTCCCTGCAGGCCTTTATGGCCACCAGGTGCATGGAGTCTTTGGCCAGCAGATGGTCTCGGTCCGCCGTCGCCTCGGGCAGTCGGTATCAGCTGGCAACCGAGGCAGGTGCTTGACCGCGCTGCTGGATATCAAGACCCCTGACATGGACCCCGCGCACACGCTGCCCGTCAAGGCCGTCGACATGTGGCTGCGTACTTGGCGAGATCACCCAGCTATTCGACCTTCTGTTAGGCGCATTTGACCAGTTATCTTGAGCAACCTCCAAGGGAAGACCCACGCCGAGCAAGCACATCAAGTTCGAGGACCAGTATCGGCTGTCATCCTAAACCTTCTGCGGGCGGGCTGGACGCCAACTACAGCAACCACGTGGAGTTACCCCACAGGCCCGAACTCGTATGAAGAATGGAACTTCCCCGACGAGTGCTACACAGGTGGCCCGCATATTGACACGCACGATGCTATACTGTCTGACCTTAAGGAGTCCCTGTATGTCAATACGTGGCGTCACGCGAGTATGCAGTATCTGGGATCTGGACTGCAGAATGGAGTGGATAATGATTCGTACCGCAGGCTGGTCCGACAGCTCAGCGAGGCTGACAACGGCAAGAGGCTCGCGGAGACCATGGTGATGGTTTCCACCGCGGGCTGCTGGACCAAGGACAGGAAGGCCAGTCTCATCAGGGCCTACGCGGGCGACAACATCTGTGACCGATGCCGTGCAGCTCCTGAGACGGCGAAGCACAGGTACTGGGAATGCAGTGAGAATAAAAAATCGCAGGCTTTCGCCTCCTCTGAGCACCTCGTGCCCCAGGCTTTAGCGCAGTTCGATAGTGAAGAAGGGTTTTGGGCCCGAGGCCTCATCCCTAGGGACTGGACCGCAGTCCCGCCTCCTGTCTCTGCCCCTGCCTGGTTTGCGACGGGTGTTAACGAGGTTGAAGTCGGGTGCCTGGGGGTTGGGTCCCGTGAGTTGCCTGTCATCGTTGCGGGTGACGCCTCTGGAGGTCCCGACTCGAAATCACCCAGGCTCCGACGCGTAGGTGTAGCTATTGTTAAGTTTGCCTCTCTCCACCCGCTCGTGGTCGATTCTTCCATCTCTGGCCCGCTTTGGGGGCCAAGACAGGTTGTTGCTAGAGGCGAGTTGTGTGCGTTTATGCTTGCCCTTAAAACGACCCGCGACCACCTGGTGTATATAACAGATTTTGAACCCTTGGCCAACAGCTGGCACGAATGTGCGCACAGAACGCCGAGGGGACCTGACGCCGACCTGTGGGCTCTCATCAGACAGCTGATGCTCCACCGCCCCCATCACTGTGTTTCTGTGCTTTTCACTCCCAGTCATCAAGACGAGGAGGATATATGTGCGGGGCGGGCGACCAGCAGTCTCGTGCTTTCCAATACTGTTGTAGATGAAATAGCTGGTGCCGCCGCACTGGCACGCAGGATCCCCGAATCCTTTCGACAACAAATTCAGATTCATGAAAGG